TGAATGCCCCATCGGTTTCTGGTAGCTTCTGGTTGCGTAAGTCTGGTGTACCGGAAACCGATTTCGTATATTGTATGGTGCCACTGTGCAAAACGCTGTGTGCTGGAATAGTAAGACGTTGTGGATCGACTTTTATCCAGTTCGTTATTGAAGGTCTGTCACATAAATGCGCCAGTAATCGCTACCTGTCTATTGTGTCTGCTTTTGACCAGACAGAATCTTCTTGTGGAGCAATAACTTTCAAAACAATCGAAGATGCTTGTACACATCGCGGTCCCCTTCAAACCGACTTACAAAACAGATGGACCACACCATTTGCTTGTGGAACAACACAAATAAATGGGTCTAGGATATGAATCTCTGTCAACACTCCAAAACTACTCAAAACACGGACACGTAATTTTCGACTGACCGAGTTTTAATGGTGTTTGCTTCGGTTTCAGCCAAGTGATCCTGTGTTTCCTAGAGAAAACCTATTCGACCATAATAAAATATGGCATATTTTATTATGGCCGAATGAGAAATGAGCAAACGCATGCGTGATTAATGTGAAGCGCAATCACCGCAAAATAGTTTTCTGGAGGAAACGGAACTAAATCGTGGAGGGTTCGTTTTGGTAATTGTTATTCATTCACCTTTGGGATCGAATACTGTGAAAGACGCATACATCACCTTGTGTCCGAATGGACGCTTGGGCATGAAGTTCGAGGTGCGCATTCAAGGGTTGCTGAAAAAAGAATTAGTTGCTTCACTACAAACGTACTGTGATTAAAAATTGAAGCCGGTGAAGCAAATGACGATATCAGAGTAGACCATGCATTGACCGTGACGGCAAAAGACATAGAAGAACAAGCGCGCTTAACTACCTGCTATTTTGGTTGAACCGTGTTGTACCTGACTACCGTTCTCGCGTCAGGGCCTGGTGCCAGAAGAAAAACTCACCAACAAGGAACACAACAGCTTAATTGCGACCGGAGTGTGCGTGTGGTTGCTATTTAAACGGCAATTTTCGGCATTGATTGAGGCTTTCTGATGAGCATTTACCGAACGCCAGTGAGCGTCAGTTCTCGTTTTAGCCTGGATTATGCAAATTGACACTGACGTTGTGTTGTCTGCACGAAACAATGATTCAAGTAACGAGTTCGGTTGTTGAAATGATCGCGTTATCGTTTTCTCCTTGCCCCTACCTGCACGGCGCTTGTGACCCACAAGCTGTTTTCGTAGGCTCTGCTGGCGTCACTTTTCAGAATGTTCTCTGGTAGAGTTGTTGGTCTTGGTTAAATTCGTGCGGTTCTTTTGACAAATCCTGTCCCATAGGCACGCCAATAATATATGTGTTTAAATAGCGCCTGCTTTTGCCACAAGAGGCTATCTCTACGGAGTAATAACTTTCAAAGTAACCAATGTCACTTGTCCACATAATGGTTTCCCGCTCGCAAAGCAATTTGAAACACAAAAATACATATCGCCATTAGTTGCATTTTACTGAATGTCGCTGTTTATGAGCACGCGCTTATTTACTGCTGCCTTTGCTTTCGCTTTTCAGGGATGCTCAAATTGCTCACACCTCGCCTGGCCATCAAGAAGATCTCGGACCACCGCCTAAAGGATGTTCCATGGAATCATCTTTTAATGTTCTTTATGGTTAGCATGCCTTTTGGTGTTGTCGAATCTTATTGGGCTGCAAAAATATAGAATGCTAAGCGCTCTGCTTGTGATACGACGCAACCAACTGATCTAAGTATTAGATCTCCAAGCATCGACACGTAATTTTGAACTAACAACCGAACTTCGTGTTTTAATCCGGATTTAGCCGAGGGCTGTAGGCTCACGCCGTGTTTAAAAGCGAGCGCATTTTATGCCTGCATAAACCATGATTTATTCACGTACGCAAAGGGATATGAACAACAGTGTGCATACATCATGTGCAGCAGAATCCGCACAAAACTGTTTTCTCAATTCACCGTAATTAGCTCATTGACGGCTTGCCAGAGGGAGTCCCATTCGAGATTCTCTCAAATCAAAAACTGTAAACAACTTGTATATCGGCTTATGTCTAAAAGCTCAGAGGTGAAGTGCGAATTCCCGATTTGCAAATGACTCTGCTTCTGTCTCGCTTCTACAGTATCCAGAACAATAGAAAATTTGAGAAGAAACTGTGGATGTCATGGTAGCAAATGCACTACTCTCAACGGCAAAACAGAAAAAGTGATGTGGGATTTTACATGACTGTTAAGTAGCTTGCTCCATTTTAGAACTGGATTTAATGAGACTTTCTGGCATGACGTGATTTATCTAGCTGTTTCTCAGTCTACTGGCCATTGTTTATTTTTCCTCAAGTGCACACAATTTAAGCTAAATGTTTTCTACAAAAAATACTCAAGGACATCGATAGTGCGCTTATCCAAACAGTTGCAATATATTACAGACATGAGCAAAACTTCCTTTTCGTGGTCAATGAAATGTAATAAAGGGAAAACATAGATCGACGCTAATCACAAAGCGACCAAAAAAACTACGCAAACCTGCAAAACACTAATCACGTTAGATGCGTATTTGAGACATAGGTAAGCGTGTGCACGTTCCAACTTCCCATTGGCCACATCGTCTTGGTTGATGACACATTGTCAGTCGCCACCTGCTCAATACCCAACAAAGTGGGATTTGATATACGCCTCAGGGGCAACAGAATGTCATGGATACCATACTGTTTTTCGCTTTCCCTGACGTTTTGGGGTCAACCACGAAACCAGTATCTTCGAACGCGATGGCAGATTGCGTCCCACATCAAACGTGTATCTCACTTGTAGGAAAGCCCTCGTTCCAGCGGGCTTAGTAACCAGAGAGTCCACGTTGGACACAACGTGAGTCAATCACTCTACAAGCACGTGTCCTCAGTAAAGGTTCTAAGACGGGGAAACACGTGCTCATATGATGGTCAACAAAACGTTCGTAAAATGTCGTGAACACTGTGGTTCTTTAGTCACTAGGTGTTTCATTGATTTGGCTCCGCAGCCCCACTAAGTGCATGACTATACCACCGGACATTTTGACGACAGTCTAGGACACTTGCGGACGGACTGCATATCTGTTTGATATACTCACGTTGCCTGAGCTTCGGATTATTGTGGCTTTTATACTGGCCTAATCTTCGTTCGGTCTGGTATGAAGGGGGAAGTGTCGTGCAACTAAGTTTTCATGTCTAAGCTACCAAAGTGCGATTGTCCTGATAGATGATATCTCAGACATCATCATAGACGTTTGTAATTGAAGGTAATTAGACGTGAGTGATTGAGCATTTCGACTAATTTACTCGTATTTCTATCAGTGTGAAGGTTGCAAATTTTTATTTACTCTATCCCTCTTTTGATATGTTTAATGAACACCCCAGGAGGAACATTTTCTCATCTGAAGGAACTTGTTGTCATTAGGTCTTTTCGGGTCGACTATTGGATAATTTGATCGTCACGAGAGATGTTTGCTTCGTAAGGCAATCGTAGTTGAGGGTCTCGTTGGAGGACTATTTGTTTGAGCTAACGAGCATTGTTCGTCTACATTCTGTCGTTTTTTGTCACTACCTATAATCTGTTTTTCATTCTGAAGTGGACTAAAAGCGGATCATTATAACTTTCAGTTTTGAAGTCTCTCTTTGGGAACACGAATTAAGTGTCCCCAACAGAAATCTCACTCGGCATCGTGAATTGTGCGGTCAAAATACGACGCCGGAGACTCAAATAAACACATGCAGTACAGCGTGTCCTGTGAATTTCTTCTGAATTATGACTAAACTAGCTTGAAACCCGACGCCTATCTGTGGGTGTAACACATACATCGCGAACACCTGCTTGGGATTGATCAGCTATGAGATGCATCTATGAATAGGTATTCATACAGAGTGAGCAACATTCATGGTTTCATCAGAAGGGCGTGGAGACACTTATTTCCTGATCCGACATGCCTGAAGCATGATTTGGGGCTTTTGAAAATATATTTGAAGAAATATTTGTCAGTGCCAACTGGTCTGCTTGTTTGGTAACCAAAAGCAGGCAGTTTTATTTTTATCCGCTTATCAGAAAAGTTGGTAACAGCAAAAAAGAAACCTGTTGTAAGAGTAATTTTCACCTTGAAATATTCTCTGAGATGATTGCTAACGGTGAATTATTCCGACAGCTACCAAAAATATGAAAAGATTCTTGTCGTAACACATTTTTAATGTTTTGGAACCAGCAAGATGGGACACAGTATGGTATGAATATCATTGCCATGACATTGAAAAATTTATAGTAATCCAATGTAGTGAATTAAAAAAATGAAACCGTATACCTTCTCTCAAAACAACTTATTTTTGAATATTACCATATCCATGAGGTTGCTAAAATCTACGCGTAGATACGCGTTTTTTCCTTCTCGTGCCTGTTTAAATGGGTTAATCTTTAGAAATCTGTTTTTATCCGATGAATGGTAATGAAATGTTATGAAATGGTAAAATACGGCCACTTTCAAATTAAATAGATAGTTTCAGCATATGTATTGATGCCATGATGTCTAAAATGTCATACGAAATCGGTCTTTGGGCACATGCTGTTGTAGCATATGTTCAGTGAAATGTTTCAGGTGAGATTCACTCAAGTCTCCAGCAAGTGGCACTTTGATCTGCAAATGAGGCTATTTTGGCATAAGACTCCTTCCTTTCAAAGTGAAATACGGGGAAGATTTTGTACTCTTCATTGTTGTTTAGATAAGCAATGACCTAATTACAAATTATGACGTGATGCGCTGCACATCCCTCCACCTAACATTAGCCTATTAAGGTTAATTTATTTCATCTAGGCCAGGAAATCCGGAAAAGATGTCTTGTTAGTTCCTAGTAGGCGCGATTATTTTTAAAAACCCATGGACGATGATTATAAGCCTGTTCCTTTTCCTTTTCCCAGATCTCATCCATTCTCCATTGAACAAGTAACGTGCGAAACTGTACACTCAATAAGCGATAAGAAATGTTACAGCCGAGCAGGTATTCTCCCTCGGCGAAATAGGTTTCTGTCCACTCGCAGCAGTTGATGAATTTGATGGATTTGTTGTGGTGGCCCATAGAAGTAAGGATAGGCGGTGTTGAATTGAATGGTGCAGCCTTGGTGACAAGTTATGTCGCGTCCCAGTGAAATTCTACAACAAGTATGTCGATTTATTAAAATTCAACGGAACAATTACCCTTCGAGCCAACTACCCCAAAATTCATTTCAAGACAATTCGGTCGAATCTGATATATTTGGATACACTTTCACACATTCAGTTCAACAAAGTAAATGTTTAAATCGGTTCGAAAATCATGTTGTTTTTTATTGGTTTTACTTCACAAAAATCAACCGAAATCTCTCTCCAAAATGGTTTGACTGCTTATACAAGGTCAATCGATAAGTAGCTTCATGAAGGCAGATAGTCTGCATATACTTCCAGATAATTTTGTGTTGTCGGTAAAACAGTTCCCAGCTAAATCCATGTACCAGTATTATGTTGACTGGATTCGTCACATTTTCGGTCACAGGAATATGAAAAATGTTGAGGGATATATGCTAGCATTTTTGTTGAATTTTCAGAGATTTTTCAACTCTTTGTTAATACTAATTAGTCTACGAAATGCCTGTGCGCGACAGACGGTCCTCTGGCCATCGGAGTACATATACAACATTTACCTCCCTACTTGTCCTGAGAAACTGCAGTAATTCATCGAGTGTGGCAGAGTTCTTTCTCCCTGAGACCATCTGATGTGCCTCACCATTGCTTCGCACATGCTTCCGCCAGATATGAGCAATGCTCCGGACATAGTAAGCGCTGATAGCTTTCCTCTGCTCACTGGGGAAGCGCTTGTGAATAATAAAGCAGTATGGATTCCACTGGTGCAGCGCGAACTATGTCCTTGACGAAAAAATCTGACGTCACCCGGACAATACAGATACAAAGCCTCTGAGCTTGTCAAGCTGCAGATGACCCGTATTTTCGGCCGGTCCAAAAGTACGTGATCAGCTGTCCGGATAAGCAAATATATCTGTACTTTTGAGGTGACAGCCTGCCCGCTTGCCTGACAGCCGTTTGGAGCGTATTCTGTCGGCTGCTTTAAAGTTTGGGGCATTTAGTGGCGGGGCCTACGTTCACGTAGGTGCCAGATTGCAGCCAACAGCAATTAGTTGGTCTTTTAAAGTTTATTTGAAAGTTCACGTACTTTTCACATCTCTGCCGCTACTTCGCAGCTCATAGCTAAGCAGGGTGAGTTGTTCATTTCTACCCATAACTTGCGAGTAACCAGCTCTTCAAAAGGGAGTTTTTAAGATCATCATGCAAATCACACAATGGCTGATTTAATTTTCTGTTAAAGCCAAAAAAATCCCTGAAATCACCGATGGTCACACACCGATAGATGATCCAGATTCACCGATAGATTTGTACGTAATCTCCATGTTTTTGACCAATAATGCTGCATGTCACCGCCCTTTAAATGCAAGCTGACGTCCCGTCCTCGCCACACGTGTCGGAGTGGCAACATTCTTAAATTTCTAGGTAAGCAACACATGCGGAGCTTTGCGGCATTTTCAATAAGGTAGTTAAGACGATATGCAACTATAAGAGGTCTGAACCAAGAGGTGTAGTATCACCTTCATAATTAATGTTTGTGAGGAAACCTCGAGACTGTTTGTCCTTCGAGGTTTTATAAGGAGGACTTGTGAAATTTGAAGCATCATACGAATAAAAATTAGCAAAGGAAAGATGAGAGAGAGTCCAGATATTTCCTTCAAGCCTGGACGTGGTTAACCCAAGTGATCGCTTGCCGTGAACTATTCCACGTCCAACTGAGAGCCCACTCAAGGTTATGGGATATCTGTGTATCGTCTTTGTCAACGGCAGACCGCTGAGTCCTTCTAGATGAAGCACTTCTCAAAGTGTCCGACGCAACGCAAACGACGACAGGTTTGTCAGTGAGTTGGCCTTGCTGATCATTTCCTTTCATTTGAATAAATCAAATGAAATGAGACACAAAAAGTGTCTCAGTCTCATAGGATTTGCAAACCACGGGTGTCGACACCATCATACCGCCACGCCAAATCTCAAAGCTGTCCGACCGATTTTATTGAGTTTACCGGGGCAAAGAAGATGAAAGCATATTCTCAACGTGATTGCTCTCATGGAAGTTGTTTTGCCATTTTGTATTTGCTGAAAAATATCAAGCTCATACTGTAGCGTGATACGTTCATGTAACAGCGCTCTTACACCAAAATACCTTATTTAATTCGTGGTATATGTTTATTGGTGGCAAAGTATGCAATTGAGGCATAATACAAATTATCCGGTATCGGCCACAAAAAGACTGAGCTCCTCCTCGGGGTGACAGCTTGACCACAACCCCACAGCCCAGTGAGCTATGCTGGGCAATGGGCTTTGCCTGAACAGGTGACATCTCCTATCAAGTTGGTCAACGTTTAGTATTCCATTCCACGTACAACCATGAATTTCACCCTCAAAAAATAGAGGATGCATTGCAACACGATTGCACGACATTACAGCATCAATTTTACCACATTGTGTTGCTGTGAATGAGGATGGCAATTTATTGCTTTGCTAACAGGTCAATCGCATTTGATTTGAAATAATTTACAAAAGCTTCTGCGTTCCACACAAACAAACATTAGACACATCCAGCTGCGTCTTTTCAAGAAAGAGGTGTGCCATCATTTGCTGGTTCACTATTTGGTGAAGGCAAAACCTTCAAAGTGGGCTTCCGATGATTTGTCACCTGCTGAGCTGCCCTTGTCACCTAACGATTTCACTATTGCAACCATGAATTCACCCTCAAAAAATAGAGGATGCATTGCAACACGATTGCACGACATTACAGCATCAATTTTACCACATTGTGTTGCTGTGAATGAGGATGGCAATTTATTGCTTTGCTAACAGGTCAATCGCATTTGATTTGAAATAATTTACAAAAGCTTCTGCGTTCCACACAAACAAACATTAGACACATCCAGCTGCGTCTTTTCAAGAAAGAGGTGTGCCATCATTTGCTGGTTCACTATTTGGTGAAGGCAAAACCTTCAAAGTGGGCTCCCGATGATTTGTCACCTGCGGAGCTGCGCTTGTCACCTAACGATTTCACTATTGCAGACAAACGCAAGGAGGTAATAAATCAACCCCGTACGGAGATAGTACTTTTGTTTTCGGCCAGTCACTTGCAAGATAATTAGCAGAATCGGAAAACCAGGACATGGCTACCTCACCAGAACTCACTTTGGATTAATATTAACATTATTGATTACAATAATTCCTTTATGTTCGGTAGATCGTTCTTCACAGTTACAAAACATTTATTGAACTACTTTCTGTGGTTTATCGGCACTCACAGATGTCTAGACCTAACTGATTTATTGACTGTAAATTTTGTGTTTGCATAAACTTTTGGCATAAAAAGTGGGAATGTCAGATAACGAGTAACGCTTTGAATGTCCACAATCCGATTTTCTAATCGGTAATGATGTCGGTTAAGTTTTTTCAAACTTTCAGTGTTATTTATATTTTGGCATCGGTTTAGTAATTATTTGACTTGGGCAAATGCTATAAAACAACTTGCACACTTTCGATCCATTTCCACCCCAGGTCCAATCTTTTATTGTTTCATCAAGTCTGTTTATCTCTTATCTCCTTCTTCGGATTGGGTAAAAGGGAGTGAAAAATCCTAACGGGCAAATCCAGGCGAGCTTAATTGTTGACTCACCGTAACTGTGATTTATACCGGTTATCGTTTCAATTCAGGGATCCATTGTTGTAATAAATACGCGAAGTGGACGAAGCCATGGAACACAGGAATTTGGTAAACTATCTGCAAATTTAGCTGCAATCAACTACGTCTTGCTGAAGAACTGCACCAAACATCTTGTTGTTATTGGGAATACAACCGTTGCACTTGTCCACGAATAGCTCTCCCAGTTTTCGCGATCCAGCTCGTCATTTGTGGCAACGCTCCGATTGTGCAAAACTAATATATATAATATAATTGTAATTGTTCAGCTGTAACACCCTTTCGGTGCCTAGCTGCCATGTCGCCCGAAGGTTACACGAGGGCTAGAATACTGCCAGGTTGCCCAAGCATAGACACGGGAAGTTGAGAGGAAGAGGTCAGTTTCGAACCACGGACATTTCGATCAGTAGATTCACGCCCTAACCCCCATTGTGCAAAACTGGCCTGCAATAATGGTCTGATAATCTTTAGCAGCGCTAGCCAAACCAGTTGCTCTCCATTTGTTTGGAGTCAGAATAAGACTATAGGTTGTAGATGTGCGCAGTAGCATGTAGACTATTTCCTGTTCCCTCCAAAGCTGTTTACAGTTTTCACGGATAATCTTGCCTGTCAATTATCATACTGATTGGAAAACCGTGTAATGCGTAATATTGGACTCACCTAGTAGCTTGGACGGTCCATGAAGTGGGTAACATCATGGGAAGGTATATTAGCGGCCCATCGTAACGGTAATCATGAATTCCGCCAAAGGAGAAAATCCCGCCTCTGAAAACTCCGTCGTGATCCCTGCGAAAAAATCAATAGGAATTATGAACTAGTAGCCTTAAATCACGTTTCATGCTCATCAAGCTATACGAAAGCAGTAAATCGAGCTTTTCAGCCTCCTCATTTTTAAAATTAAATTATTTCGAAGTTCCAGCCTGACCTTGGCTGAACAGGCAATGCTCTCACTGACAAGTGAACACTGTTCCTCTGAAATTGTCGTGGTCTCAAAAGTTCTCTGGATTTTCTCGGATACTATATTGGTTCCTCAACCCAAAACTATACCCTTTACAAAGCGAGCCTTGTGATCAATGGTGTTTTTTCCGTACTATTAATTTGAATAAAAAAAGTTTCAGGCACAAAATGACCCGATCCACGCTATCCATTATAGATTTTGATCGTAGTGTCTCCAAAAAGGTACGCTGATGTTTGTGTGGTTTAATTAAACATAGAGCTAGTTAGAATCCAAACCAAACTTTCTATGATCTCATACATCGTGAAAGGATACATTCTTCAGATCCCCATTTGTGGACGTTTCTAGCAAAATGGCCACCTCTCTTGTTTCGGCGATGTTTCCTCACATTAACGTAAAATCGCCCAGTGATCACACTGAGTATTAAAAGGCAAATTGTTTGTGGGTTCGTCTGATTTTGAGCTGAGAAGGCAAGGCGTTTTTGTCTACAGTCGGTTCTAGTTGATCGGGACAGATTTCCTGCTGTTTATGCGAACAAAAACAAAAACAGAAAATCTGAGATGTGCAATGGTTAAAATGCTTCCACTTTGTAGATGATGCCATGTGGCTCACAGCCTCGAAGTGAGGAGCCGTTTGGGCACCCTTAGTTGCTCACGTTCCGGTTGTCCCCCCGATTTGAGTAGTTCATTTCGGGTTTTTTCCGACAGACACAGTTTGGTCAACGTAGTCTATTCCAAGCAGCACGACTGCTTGACTTTATTCGTCGTTTGCCGACTACCGCCTTCTTGGTCTTGCGTTCCTCCAATCCCTACTCTCCAAAGTGTGTCAGACTATGATATCTCCAGTGCACTGTTTGCTTGGAAGTTCAACCTTTCTATTAACCGTTCTATTTGACTGAGTGTGATGTGAAGCCTGGAGATCTCAGAATAATATTGAACGGATATGTTTCGGCATACTACGTACAAACCAACTTTTCTAATTTTAAGAGTGTCATTGTATGAGAGGATCTAATCCAGTTGAAGTGGAATAGTCAGCAGAGGTAGTCGTTAAATTGAATGTTTCCCCCTTGTCCCGATCATATTCTTGGAACACGCGTTCTATGGAAAGATGGGGAAATTTATCGAAAAACCATCAGGGTTTGCGTGGTCCAAGTTTGAGCTTCTCTTCAAATGAGCAGCTCATGAGCGATGGGTTATTTTTCATTAACGAGCCAGCAACGATAAATTTGCGTGTGCTCATCGCTGCGAAAAGATTCACATAATATAAACGACAAGATTTGTAGAAGTGCCAAACAGCTTGCCTAAGAATTATTAGGTAAAATTGCCCATGAGACAAAAATCGTTTACTAATCAACAGTGAACTTAGTACAAGGCAACCATTTGAAACTTCTGTCTGAAGTGTTAACGTGTATCAGCAGAGATTCCAGCCAGCACTTGAAAAGGCCACTTGTATATTAGATCCCCTACGGTTTACCGATTTTCAGTATTGGAATTTCGCTGCAAGCAGGCAAAAAAAGTAAATTACAACCGAAATGCTTTCTACCCTTGTTGCTAAACATCTCCTCTATTACGGAACCGTCAGTCATACGCACAGGTTGGAATGATGATGCAATCATCAATGGTGCCCGAATGGTCTATTGTTCACTCTGTTAGTTAGTAAGTTCTCGAAAATTGCCATATTTGCTCACGCGTTGAGTCTTTAGGCTCTAATCTGTCATTGTTCCTCCGAGTGCTTCTGGGGCAGGAATACATGATCGTCGTCACATCATGTGGATTTTGTACAACATATTCACCACCAAATTCCGAAAACGGTTAAAATATGTCTATGAAAATCTGCCGAACAGAACAATCTTGAAAACAATGACGTATGATTAAAGGCTGTGTATAGATGTTATAGATAACCCAGAAAAATGTTGCGAAAAATCATGACACCTTGGCAATCCACGTGACTGCAATGTGACTGACGAAGCGTAGCCTCCTAAAATTTTTTGAAGATTCCAAGGGATTGGAAAATACACGCCTGCACTGTTAGCCGTGATCAGCCATATGCAAGCTGGCTTGCAAATACGCGTTTGACGGAGTAGCGCTGTGGAAATGCAATCTTGCTCAATAACATTTCGATCAAAGTGTGCATTTAGGCAAAGCTTCCCAATTTTCGTATGTGACAAGGTAAACTCCAGTGACGGTTGGCCTACGGAACCTGAGAATGACGATTACGAGGGTAGTCTTTGCTCCTGGATATGTTATTTCTGGTCGTTGCATGGTTGGTGAAATCATAGTGGCTGGTGTCGCACACATCGTCTGGTATTGAGCATCACGCCAGAGACGGACACAAACAGGGTAGGTGGTGTCAAGGAAAACAACTCTGTGTGATAATGCTCCTTCTCTGTGGCTGTAAAATGAGTCTAGGCTGATCTAAGTGCCCCCTGCATCGTTAAATATGTATGCATATGTATGCTGCATGTGCCAAATGAAATGGAACGCCAGCGAATGACAATTTATTGAATTTGCTTGGAAATCATACTGGGTTTGTCAAGCTGGTAGAACACGGTACTCTACTTGTTGGAACACTGTCGGCCAAAATCTTGTGTCCTTCATCCAAAATCACTGTCAAAAACATACCACGACTGTATTGAGCAACTCGAAAAAACGCCACATTACCTTAAGCGCAGTTAAATTGATTGCTTTCAGATGAAATGGAAAATTCACGGGAAATGTCACATTACCCACCCCGGTGGTTGGCGTGTTCTAGCCTTCTAGCGAAAATTTGACTCATAGTTATTTTAGTTCCTTCGGGGACCACCTGGTTAACAACCAAATACCGTCATATCGAATTATCCGGCCCATGGTTGCACAACCTGTCAATATCTCACTGGTCATGCTTTCTTCTAGAAAAATGGCTCCTGGGAACCCGAAAGTGTGTAACAGATGAACAACTGATTTGCATGCAGATTGTAATGGGATTGTCGGTGAAAATCAATGTCATTGCGACCCCCGAAATAGATCAGGGCAAAACTACGGTTTGCTATTAAAATTACAGAAATTACTTCCCATTTATTAGTGTGCCCACAATATTTCTGGTCACCCTCAATCCTACACAGGTTCTTTGGGTATTTCCGTTTTTAGCTGCTTCGGCTAATGTTTGGTTCTTTAGTAGTGACCTTTGGTTGTTTGCAGTGATTGGAATACTTATCTGAATTCCTGACCATAGTAAATGAAGCTTGCTGATTCAGGTGGATGTGGCTTGCATAGAAAGTTAGTGTGTACTATGGAGCGAGGAAACGANTTGTCAATGGTGCCCGAATGGTCTATTGTTCACTCTGTTGGTCAGTAAGTTCCCAAAAATTGCTACGCGTCGAAAAGTATCACTAACTTTTCATTGCTTTTGCTTGTCCCCAAAACTGTTTCGAGTATTTAGGCTCTAATCTGTCATTGTTCCTCCTAGTGCTTCTGGGGCAGGGATACTTGATCATCGTCACATCATGTGGATTTTGTACAACATTTTCACCACCAAATTCCGAAAACGGTTAAAATATGTCTGTGAAAATCTGCCGAATGGTAATTTTAATTAAAAATTTCAGAACATTCTTGGAAACAATGACGTAACGGTCACTCAGTCAGGGAGTAGATTAAGTAGTTCTTCATTATAATCGTCAAGTTTTAGCTTATAATCATGAGTTGTGGACGATCGTGTTCAAACCTGACTAGGCAACATCAATGAATGAATGACTCACGGGCGAAACCAAAAAGTGAATACAGGTTCATCTGGAAACGCGGTCAGGAGCGACTGAGCAAAGTTGCCCGGTGTCACGTCAGAAGCAGGTCCAAGCCCCAGTTTCCCGGAAAACCGGTCAAGAAAGGGTGGACGACTTTTCATTGTAACAATTGTTTGAAAGTTGAAATTTCTGAGACTATACTCTCCAATCTACATTGCATTAGTTTCAATCGGAAAACCGGCATACCCGGAGCACATCTGTAACATTGAATCCATCTAGTGGGTCAATGCCGACAATATTGCAAATCATTACGCCGACTTGTTTGGTTGCTGAGGCATCAACGCGATAGTTCACGTACTGCTTCCCGCTGTGTCTCTCTACTGACACAAGTAGCGAGGTCCCAATCGACGTGTCCACTTGAACGCTTAGATGTTGACTTGGCGTGCCTATTTCTATGTCAATGTACAAAGACCCCTGAGCGAATATATTGATCAAATTTTATTCGTACATCGGGGTGCAGTTTCATCATATGTGAGTTTGCCTCTCTTTTATGGCGCTCGAGCTTAATTCCTCCCACGTAATTCAAACTTTCGTTCCTTGCACTTGTATGTTATGGCAAATAAAAATACATACCTGTTCGACAAAGCATGAAGACTAAAGAAATACCGGTGAAAGAGCAACAGAGTCAAGTAAGTTCCAATCATAGGGTAGACTTGTAAAAACCGCGTTTTGAGAAGAAACAACTTGTGTGAAGGTGAGACACATGGCTTTGAATGAGTCTTTATTAGGCTTTATTCATTATACAGAGGAAATATGATTTGTCGAATGTTAGTTTTTAGCGCAACCAACCGGCTAACTCAAGCAATTGGATTGAACTGTCTGTTTCACCAAAACAATCAAGATTTATGAATGCTGTCTGTTCATTGGTTCACCGTCTGGCGGCATTTTCAAGGAAAACTGTCTTTGTTTCGTTTGTCTCTGTAAGTAGTCCGAAAAAAGCGGAAAGCGAGAATGAAGAACAACAAGTATTTGTAACCTGGGATGCATTCTTCCTGAACTATTTCGTTCATATACGCGATATGTCTAACACGCAGATAAAAACGGTTTCTCAGCTCCTCGGATGAAAGGTGCGAAATCAAGCTAACCGACGTCTCAGATTGTGTATTGCTGTGCAAGCCCCAGTGCTTCGCGAGTGAGGTCTAATTAATTTCTAGCCAATGTGCCACCGTGTAAGACAATATACCCCCTGATTATCGGCCTTATTGCTCGTGGCTGGTTTGATAGTTTTAACGGGAAAATATAGATGTGCTTGTGAATATTTGGTCCCACATTCGGTTTGTTTTGCTTGATACTCGTGAGAAGGAGATTTGACGGAAACCTCCGTTCGCAGTACCTGGTGGCCGAATGGGCGCAAAGCGCAGTACACTCTCAGCTTCTGGGCTACACATGACTGGCTAGGTGAACACTTGTCCGCAAACGACCGACGCCTCAGAAGTATCGGAGGGCTCCAACGAATTTGTAACGGAGTAAATAAAGAAAAAGTATTTGGTTGTGTATGGGGTAGTTCAATCAAGTAGAACGTCAAGCACCATGGATTACTGTGGCCAGGCCGTGCTCTACGCGTAACGAAACGTCGTGTAAATATATGGCTCTTATATCTCATGACTCTTCCAGATCGATGAGGTCCCCATGGTTGAAAACAGAATTTGGCAGAAGATTCTATATGAAAGTCCAAAAGTCTGGGTATGTATTCTTTCCGTCTTCTAAGATAGTGTTCCCTTATCGACGTCAATGGTTGTCAAGCGGTCAGCTCCTATCTGGATCGTCTCACTGCGGTAGGCCGCAATTAGTTGTCGTATTTTACCCACTCATTTTTCTTCTATCCACTCTCAGGCTTTGAATATATTCAGTCAATATTGTGGCAATCAAGCATTAGTGTCACCACTGATTCTGGATTCCCTGATGAGGATTTTTGTACTCGCGTATGCGAATTTATCTCAGTGCACCATCTGTATAACCGTGCGAAGTCCGACACCGATTCCTGACCTGGAAGGTCTAATCTACTTTGAAACACTTGTGTCAATGACCGTGTTGATAACCTTTGATACATGTTCAGCTATTCAATCTGTTGGTTTTCATCCTACCAATCACTGAAAGCGCGCTTATAGGGGCCCGATAGTCTGAGCGACGCAGGGGATATCCGAAAAGTGCTCTCTTTGTAGACCACATGCAAACCAAGCATAGGAAATTGAAAAGCGTGTGGACAATAAATATTCCTGCTCGCTGGGAAAACTGGATTATTCCAAACAATAGCAATAAAAGTTCCCGAAAACTTTGCCCTGATTGAATAGTGCATGCGCGTTTTCACCTTCGTCTTTGTTGCAATTCCGCACACCAAAGTAAAGTCGATACGCCGTGGAAAATAATCCAGGTTTCAATTGGCAACTCCAGGGTTTATGTCGCCGAAACATCTTTCCCACTAAAAGGTGCTAAACAAAACCTTCGCTCATTTTCAAGTAAAGTATTGCTCCCTTAGTCTTAATGGAAAACAATATGCACTATTTTCTCCCTCTGGAATCCATAGAAAGTGTGACAAGAAGTTCTAAATTTCCAGTGATTCTCTCAACGTAAGTTGTTTTTTTTTAACATAATTTCAGTTATGCCCGCTCTGATTGATGTCATACGCGCAAGAAAAATTCAAACTTAACAGGAAGCGTGCATCAAGGAGCTGAAACTTTAAGGTTGCCCTTCAAGTATTCGAATATCAACGCTCTTTGATTTGTCAGGAGAGACAGCGAAATCGAACGAATGCTGCACGCAGAACGTCCGTTTCGCAAACCGCTATTGGTCGTTTTGAGCTGTTTGGGCAAATGGTTAGAAAATCAAATGTTCCGTCATTGGCAAGAACTGAGGTGATCAAGCAAATGCAAGAGATTTTGACCTATGAGTGAAGAGAATTCACGATAAATTCCGAGAAGGACCATAAAGCAGTTTCATGGGAACCGCCATCACTGCGCATCTGACGAAGCTTTGTGCAGGTTAAGCAATGTTGTGGAATGTAGGTAGCTCGGGTGCGCTGTTTGGTTGTTGGTCTGTTCGCCGAGCTTGGCAGTTGGATTGCAAACGTTTCATCACCAATCGAGGTGACATCGTCGGTGCAGGGTTAAGTGCACTGACGATGTCACCTCGATTGGTGATGAAACGTTTGTTGCAGGTTTCCGAAAACTCTCAGCCTGTATTTTGGATATTCGGTTGATCGGCCGCGAATGGCTGATTAGCGTTTGTAATCAGATCGCCTTCAGACAGGATGCTGAACCATCCATCCTAAAACCAAATCTCATTCCGCCCCTCATATAGCCAGTGCCATTATCACAACCACTTCAGTAAGTACCCAAGGCATAATGACTATAATGTTTTCTTTCAACTTGTAGAGAACATGCCAATTGAGGTATGATCGAGTCGTTACAGCCTGAACGCCACCGGCAATAACAAAACGGTGGAGGTACGTAAAACCAATGATGGGAGTTTTAGTGTTGATTGCTACGTTTCCAAAAATACATTTCGATGCAACGATCACCATAGGGTTCATTAGAATGGAAGATCGGATTTCCTCGTGGAAAAGATTTGGAAAGCATTCGGTGGATTTATTGCTAAGCCGTTGTTTGCTTCCGACAAATAAGATACTTCAATCTGTAACTAGGTTACCGAGTTCGTGGCGATTAAAGGCACGATGAATCTAAACCAATCTGAGGTGTCAGTCGATGGGTTTTATTTGGTAGCTTCAGGCAACGTGTGTCGCGACCAATGGTTAACTTACATGGAAAGCCATGCCGTGCTGAATTTCAGCCATTTTGGAGGGCTTTCATTTTCCTGTTTAGTAGGTATACCATCAAATAACGTTGAATTCGCAAGGACATGAATCTAGGGAAATTAGTACATCGTCTCTTGTATCCACTCCGGCATCACCTCAGAATACGTTGCTGGCATTAGGCTTCACAATACATCTCGCATATAGTTTCCAGGATTAAAGGCGGTGTATAGATTTTATAGATAACCCAGAAAAATGTTGCGAAAAATCATGATAGCTTGGTAATTCACGTGACTGCAATGTGACTGACAGGCCAAAGGGCGTTCCCGGTACTGTAAATATGCCCAAATATGGAAAACATCGAGTGTGGGCTCACCAGGATATTCACGCTAGAAAAAGTGAGGCTTTTTTTAAAACAAAGTCGTATGAACATGGATGCCTGTAAGAATGTTTTTGACGAAGCATAGCCTCCTAAACTTTTTGAAGATTCCAAGGGATTAGAACATATACGCCTGCACTGTTATCCGTGAGCAGCAATTTGCAAGCTGGCTTGCAAACACGCGTTTGACGGAGTACCGCTGCATTTTGTGGAAATGCAATCTTGCTCAATAACATTTTAATCAAAGTGTACATTTAGGCAAAGCTTCCCAATTTTCGTATGTGACAAGGTAAACTCCAGTGGCCGATCGCCAACGGAACCTGAGAATGACGATTTCGAGTGTAGTCGTTGTTCCTGGGTATGTTATTCCTGGTCGTTGCATGGTTGGTGAAATCATAGTGGCTGGTGTCGCACACATCGTCTGGTATTGAGCATCACGCCAGAGACGGACACAAACAGGGTAGGTGGTGTCAAGGAAAACAACTCTGTGTGATAATGCTCCTTCTCTGTGGCTGTAAAATGAGTCCAGACTGATCTATGTGCCCCCTGTATCGTTAAATATCTGAACATATGTATGCTGCATGTGCCAAATAAAATGGAACGTCAGCGAATGAAAATTTATCGAATTTGCTTGAAAATCATACTGGGTTTGTCAAGCTGGTAGAAGACGGTACTTTACTTGCTGGAACACTTGCGTCTTTCATCCAAAACCACTGTCAAAAACATACCACGACTGTATTGAGCAACTCGAAAAAACGCCACATTACCTTAAGCGCAGTTAAATTGATTTCTTTCAGATGAAATGGAAAATTAACGGGGAATGGCACATTACCCACCTCGGTGGTTGGCGTGTTCTAGCCATCTAGCGTAAATTTGACTCATAGTTATTTTAGTTCCTTCGGGGACCACCTGGTTCACAACCGAATACCGTCATCTCGAATTATCCGGCCCATGATTGCACAACCTGTCAATATCTCACTGGTTGTGTTTCTTTTAGAAGCATGGCTCCCGGGGACCCGAAATTGTGTAACAGATGAACAACTGATTTGCTAGATTACGGCGTTTTAATTTTGTAAACGTATTGCATGCAGATTGTAATGGGATTATCAGTGAAAATCAATG